AATGAGGCTGGTCTAGGGCCTTGCTCCCACCCTCACACACTGATAGCCTCCCTGGCCTTTCACTCCAGCCTACTGAGAGCACAGCCCCCTTTCCTCCAGCACTGCTGCCCTCTCTCAGCTTTACAGTTTACCAGCAAGTCATTCCCAGAGCTGGGAACATTTCCTGCCTCTTTTATTGGCAGAAGGTGGGGATCAACAGACTTTGCTATTTATCTTTATGAGTTGAAATGCGGCCTAAACCCATCACTTTAGGTCAGTTCAGAGCAACTAAGAATAACTGCTGTGCCCAGGAAACCACACTTGGGAACGACAATGGTTTTCATTACAGCTTAAGATAAAAAACAAAAGAACAACAGCAACAACAAAAAACCCCACCTTTTGTTTCAGGTTTTGTGGTGGATACTTTTTGAGGACACAAAAAATGTGGCGAGAGGTATGCCTGCCTTAGTAAACTTGGTATATAGTACATAATTTACTCTTTGTTTGCTGATACAATACCTTGAAGGGCCCTATGTACATGGATGTTTGTTTAATATAAATATTGATATATTTTCTTATATTGAGCACTTAGTATGTGTCAGGCACTGTGTTCTGTGTTTAATTGTATTCTCTCACTTATTGCAATAACTATGAGATAGTGGCTATTACTAGCTCCTTTTTGCCCGCAGAAGAACTGAAGCTTAGAAATGTTAAGTAACTTGGCCAAGGTCACTCTGCTAGAGAGATATAGAGCTGAAGTTTAAACTCAAGCTGCATGACTCCAAAGGCCTCCAATTGTTTCAGTAGTAGGTGTAGAAAGTTTAAAGTTTAGGTTAAATGAACAGTGTCCCTAGGACATTCTTGATCCCACGATCAAGAGCAGAAAGTGTTTCTTGAAATTCAATCAACATGTTTCAATTACTTGCCCCGAAGAATACAGATTTCATCATCCCATCAACAGAATAACTCCTGGAAGATTGTCCTAGAAGAAGGCAAGAAACAAATGCCCATCTCTCTAATGCTTTGTGCTACCATTTCATGACTGTTCCAAGCAATTCCAATGGATTGGCTGCCCTGGCCAGTGATAATACATAAGAATTCAAATGTGGAATTACATCACACTCAGTATTGGGACCAACAGATGATAAACTCAGTCCCTGAAATTCTTTTGCTGTCTTCTTCAAGATATCCTGCAAGACTGATTTCCCTTCTTTCTGGCCAAGACTTTTTCCCCTCCTTCTTCTAGGAAGCCAGTAATAAAAACATCTAAGCAGCTTTATCTGCCGTAGACCTTCCTCCTAAAAGCACAGCAGAGAGAATGGAATACTAACAGTGAAAATAGGAAAGTGCAGGGAAAGGGTGGTAGCAGACTCTCCTACCCAAAGAGATCAATGTAGTAGTGAAGGCGATTTGATTAATAAGAAATTATTATACACAACACATGGTCCTCCAAGTTATACCTTGCAACGGATTTCATTCTCTATTTTGAGAAATGCATTTAGCAGGAAATGTATTGTGTCCTTCAAAGCATTTCGGAGAGATTTAAATTCCTCTACTAAGAACTCTAGTCTTATTTAGGTGAGAATGGTTGGAATATCATTGTCATTGGAATTGTAAATCCTTCTTATTTCTTACAGTAATTTTAACTATTATAAATAATTTGGAGGTAGTAAAACCTTCAGAGGAAAATATGATTTTATGACTATCGTATTTTTTTCCAGTTTGTCATTTGGTGAATACAAATGCATGTGAAATGCTACTGTTCACTTATAGAGATTGAATACTAATCCAAGGTTCTTGTCATCCATATGCATGATTTTCAAAATTACCAGTAAGACGAGACTTGGAATGCAGGAAGAGAATGCCTTCTTCAGCTCAAAATACTGATATGTAAATTAGTTACTTGGTGACTGCGGAGTCCCTTTACAATCTCCTCTCTCTCCTCTACACTGTTTCACTCTAGTGTTTTATCAGAATGTTAGAGACACGGCAATGCAAATCACTGGTATTTTAATCAGCTCTGCCTCTGTCAGACCTTTAAAATTACCAGGATTCCTATGGCTTGTGAGGGAAGTCATTTGAGAGTCTAGCCAGACATTTCGGATTTTTTTCTATTGATTTCCTTTTTCTAACAGCATTAGCATGTTCTGTAATTTTATTTTCCAACCATTCCATTTAAATTCCTTTTGATCCTAAGCTTCTCTAAAAAAGAGAATTCATGTCTTTTCAAACAATAGTGTATAAATTTTCATAGTAATCTGTGTGTCTGCCTTGCCCTAGACTGCACCATTCTACAGTGATTGCTCTGGCCCTGTGTGACTTTACAACATGGGGATTTGAGCTACACGGTATGGCTAATTCTCCATGTATTCTGTTGCAGCTTTTTGATATTCTGTGGATTTCTCTCAAAAAGCATCAGTCATAATGCAAATGCTAATTTGTTATCTCTTTGCCAGCAGGAGGAAAAATACCTTAAGAATATTTGTAGTCTTCATGGGAAACTTGATAAGTTGCTTATACAACTAGACCAAACAGATTTTACTAACAAAAATGACCTATTATCTATCAGTTCACTTTATTCTGTCGTTCCAAGGGAGACTTTATGTAACCAAGGATACGTTTGGCCCTTCAAGTCAGAAACTGACTCTGAGCCACCCATCAAAGTTTGAGCTTACAGGAGTCCACCTCTCCCATCACCTATAGCCAGGGAGAATTTGAGACTCCTAAAGAGTTTCCTGTTTCTTTCCTGTGGGGCTGTGACTCCACTTTCCAGCAGTAATGGAATATTCTGAATTAGCTGCTGTAACTTCCGACCCCTTTGGAACTCAACTAGGACTTTGGCTTTATCGTAGATACAGAGCTAAAAAGTAATCATTTCTTTCTCCTTGCCCAGCAGTACCTATCTTGTAGGGTTACTTGAAGATTGTTTACATTCTTTTTATTATAATGATTAACTCTGCCCATATACCTACTCCTTCAGTTTTCTGATGGGCAAATGTGTGGAGGGCACTTAATCAGGTTAGGATCTTCCTTTGGTTGTTAATTTTCATAAAAGATATCCATCCTGCCTTAACCCAGTAGATTTTTAAAGTATATGGAGCTGGCCTTATTTGAAAACAGAATACTTGCAATGTTACTCTATAAGATACAATCTCAAATTATCAATTCATTCAAGAAATATGTTCAAAGAGAATTATCTGAATGGACCACCAGCCCTCCACTTTCCTAAACCAGACTTTCCAAAATGTGTTCCCCAGGGAACATTGATTTTACATGATGTCACTTCCTGGTATCCAGTACAAAATGGTTTCATGATGAAATATGGAAATATGTCAGTTTAAACAAAGTTAAATTACTTTCTGCAGGATTTCTCTGAGGCTTTCATAAATGTGAATTTCCAAGAAGGGAAGGAGGATGCAGTATTTCCCCAAATTACTTAACCACAGACATATTTTCCTCCTGCCTATCTATCTATCTATCTATCTATCCATCCATCCATCCATCCAACCATCCATGTAACTAGAGTTCTGAGAATGAGACATAGAGAAATTGTCTCTAGACAGTTTCCATGCTATTTCTAGATTAAGCCAGAGAATCAGAGGATTACCTACTGAACCTCCTTGTTTTGATCCGTCCACCCCATCCTCAAATATTTTTACTGAATTATAATTTGTTGTTATGCTCCCACTTCCACTGCAGGATGCTATAAGAGATTTGCTAGTGATTTCACTATAGGAATGTTTAAAAGCACCATCGACTATGGCTTGTAGTCTCTTTATGGGATTTTTTATGAGAAACTGCTCTTGTATATCAAGTCCTTAGGAGAAAATTCTCCCAAATATCAAGCCCCAGGGAAAGCTGTGCTGGTATGTTTTTACCTTATGGACGTGGCAAATCTTCCCTGATCACGTTTTCCTCTTTTCTTAGATTAGGAAGGCTTAAGCTAAATCTGTAGCCTGCTTTTAATAATTATTCAGGGCCTTACATTGTAAATTTTTATATAATATCTCTTCCTAGTTTTATCTTATTAATTGACCTACATTTTTCTTTTCACCAGATTTATCTTTTTTTAACTGCGTTGTATCTTCTTCTCTAAACTACCCCAAATCCTTTAGGTAATGAGGTAGAATGTAAATTAATACATAATGTCCTTACCCACACCAAAATCATATGCAGATTGCCCGAGGAGATAGAAAATGATTGTTACGTGATCCTCATTTCATTCAAATATCTGGTGTGCAAAACGCATGGTTGTCTTCTTATGTCTTCTTCCCTAGTCTCAGCACCTCGTTCTCATAGCTAATGAAATGTAGAGACAGAGCACATCCCTCTTAATGATATGTTTTCACTGAATTTCCATTTATTTTCCTTTATATAGGAAGTTTACTAAAACCCACTCGTCATTTTCTCTCTTTCTAAATTTGTCTGGGCCATCAATTGATATTGCTCAGACCACTAGTGGTGACTTTTTTTCTAACTTGTGCTTCTAAATCAGCCATGATTAGGTTGTTAGGGAAATGGGGAATCCTGTTTTATATAAGTTGACCAGTGTCCCAAATTTACTAATAATTAAAGCACTGATTATAGTGCGGGGGGGAAGATACGAGAAAAATGAATCTCTGTTCACTTAAACTAATGTCACAAAATCCAGATTTGGCAATTGCCTGCATCTGGGATGGGTGTTTATAAATTCAGAACCAATAAAAGCAGTGAAGTGCAGCTATGAAACTCTCAAGTTTTATATGTGTATAAGCATATTGCTCTTTGCTAATTTCTTTCTAGTACTTATTTCTTGACTGCTCATATTTTTACTATGTGATGATTTTTAAAATGTTATTCAAAGTTAGTTGACTTAACAGATTTTCCTGTAACTTCTGGTTAAACAGTATCCTTTGTGTACAGGCCCTTCAGTCACCAGCACTGAATAGAAAGAGGCTCTGATACATGAAATGTGAATTTGTGACAGTTTTGTGGTTTTTTTTTTAAAGAACTTGAGCAACACATGACTGATGCATGCTTACCCTGTTTTCTGTGTTCCATCTGTCTTTCTGCCAGTGTATTCATCCTCCATTTCTGAAAGTAGCTGAGAAAGAGAATGCTAAGCATGGAGAAAGGGCAATTCCAAAAGAACAAAAGGTTGTTTAACTTTGGCTGATGCTACCCAGTTGGTGGAGGTCTCCTACACCAGGGATGAGAAATGCCACCACTTAGGTTGGGCAAATCCCCAAGATATCATTTGACTTGATGGAGGAATGAGAGAGAATACATCACTAATGCCCAGTTCCATTCCCTGCAAACATAAAAAAGCAGTTTACTCCACTCTAGTTGAGTTCAACTCAAGTGCTATCTCTAAAAATAGTGTCAGGTAAAAAGTCAATGAACGTGCAAAGATCAATTTTCACTAATTCTCCTAGTAGTGAAATTTCCACATTTTGCATTTACTATCAAGAAAAGAGGTCTTTTGTGAGCTTGGGGATCCACCTACATTAACACTCTCGGATCCCTACGGTCCTTGCAATAGGCTAGGCACTGCAATAACTCCATTTTACAGTCCAGGACTCCTGATAAAGAAAGGTTTTTACAGGTTTCTTTATAAATATAGGTTGTACTGACATTTAAATAGTCCACAAGACAGGACATCCTAACGTTCCTATTAAATTGATAATGAGAGCATTAACCAGGTATCAAAGAAGTATGTCCGGGTAGATGTTGAATGACATAATAAGGAAAATGTAAATAAGAATCATCTTTCTCTTAAAGTAATAACCTGTGATCACAGAATCCTAGAGTTTTAGAGAGGATGGGAGCTTCACATTTATTTAATCCAAACTCTTTGTTTTATGGAAGAAGAAAAGAATGCCCAGAGAAGTTGTGACTTGCCTCAGATCACACAATTAATTAGCATCAGAAGTAGAACTAAAATCTGATTTCCACCTTACCATTTCCTTGACAAGATGTAGAAAAATTATAAGCCATTGATTTATTCCACGTTAGACAGCTGCTCTGTTTCCTTTTGGGCTTCTGTTACTTTAGGTTTAAATTTCCCTGCGTTACACACCCTTGTTCAAGGAGTTATTGACTCAACTACAGAAAGACCTTGGGAGCCATAGTCATACCATCTCACTTTCTCATCAAGAAATGAAGGCCCAGCGAAGTTCTGAAACTTGCCTGGTAAAAGAATGAGAGAGTTTCCAAATAGAGCCTGCATCCCTGTCTTCTTTTTTTCTGTAGTTCAATGGACTTTATTGCAGTCTGGTCCATATCATGCTGTTTAAAGCATTACAATATTTTTTTAAGTTCAAAAGCATGATGAATTCTTTCACAAAGCAAGTAATCACATTTATACATTTGCTTAAATTTGGATTTTCCGAGTAACATGTGTGTGTATAGACTTTAAGCATGATGCACATGTAGCCAATAAATCGTAACCATCTAATGACATAAGATCCCAATTCACCCCTTCCATGGCCTAACATACTCTTCCTCCACCTCCTCAGTGTCCTCCCTCTTGTCCATTCCAAGAGTCTGCCAGTAAGGGAAATAAGGACCGTTACAATTTTCATTCTGTCTCCCTATAACAATTTCCCCATTGATTCAGCAAGATTGTGGGGCAAGGATCATGGGCAGTATGACTTGTGTGATAAGCTTTCACTCTGCAAAACACCCTACTTTAAACATCACTTCTCTTTTTCACTGGACTTAAAACTCCAGAGCTAAGAAGATGGCTAGAGAAATGATGCATGTATATTTTGGAGCATACCCTATGAGAAGCAAGTTTAGATTCATCCTGAGTTTGAGCAACTAATTCTGATCCTATGTATCATCAAAGATTCCTTTATTTCTCTTCCCTGTTTTTCCCTCTCATGAGTGGATCTGCTGTTGAATCATGTCTGTGCCATTCAATGATTATCTCACTGTAATGAGGTCACTGAGGAGCAACTTACTCTTGTTTGCACTGTTCCCAACAGCCATGAAAGACTGTAAGTGTTGATCTCCAAATTACATTAATATAATGCTAAATCTTCCTTGAAAGATCTATAGCAGAGTAAACAATCTTAATGATGTGGCTGTCATTTCAAGATACCAGTATGTGAGTTACAAAAAATATCGGTGTTATTAATTTAATATGCACTTGATAAACTTTAATTGAATGATTATGGGCCATTAGTATAATAACCCGACATTGTGTACTATTGGGTACTAACTATTGGGTAAAACACATAGCAGTTTGCTTCCACTAGAGAAATAAGACCTGACTGGAAATCTCACAGTGATTCTGTAACATGGTTCATTGCTGTACCCTGAGTAGAAAAGACTGAAATATTATATAATCCAGAAATCAACCGTAGGTTCAGTAGTTTAACACTCATTATAAAAACTAAAAAATGGTTTGGAGTATTACTGAGCATGGTCTCTAGCTAAGATACATTCAAATACCAGCTCCTACTATGTAACTTTGGAGAGGTTATTTGAACTCTATGTACTTCTGTTTTCTCACCTGTAAAATGGGTATAATAATAGTACTTACCTACAAGAATTTATTTTTTGAGGATAAAATAAATTGGAATATATATAAAGTGCTCTGAGCAGTGCGTGATACACTGTTATTCTCTATTACAGTAAACCAATCTACTCATACAGTAAACCCAGTAAAATCATTTTGCTTCTGCTTTCTCAATGTCTTACGACACAATCGTGCATTGTATTATTAACTCATTATTAACAAATAATGAGTTCCTAACCACTGGATTGTTGGAATTCTTTCATGCTTCCCTATGATCCTGTCACTTAATTTTTAGGCATTCATTAGCTTCAAACATTCCATTGCCCAGTATTAAAAAAAGTGAGTATGCTCAAATTTTCTAATTAGGCAAAATGAAACACAGACACAGCATACATTTTCAATGATCATGCATGTGTTCATAACTTCAAGTCCTCAATGGAAAAACAATCTTCATTCCAGAAAGAATATAATTTTTAATGAAATCAATCATTGCAAATTCATTTAAGGAGATTTACAAAGACATTTCAAACTATTTGTATGCAATGTTTCTAACATAATACACTTCATAAGCATGCTGAGGAACATTCAGAGTGCAGACTACAAATCATCAAATCATCACCAAACATTTATTGAGCCCCTATGTCCATAATGATGATGACGTCTGGTAAAGCACCGTTGTCAGAAATCTCTAAAACTAAAATGGAGCTGGTTTTTATTATAAGCCTAGTATATTTTTAAATCAAGCCACAGGGAAATAATTACTTTTGTTCCTATTCAATCAAGACATGCACACAGAGTTTATGGAATGACATAATATCCTTCCTGAAATCAGACCGGTATGTAGGACCAGTATCCTTCACACATAACCAGTTCCTGAACCTTTAAAAACAAATCCTAATTTCCAAGGAAACAATCTCATCAAATGGTGCTCACTAGAATACATATTGTTCCTTTTGGAAACATTACAATAAGATTTTCATGATTACAAACCCCAACTTCCCCTCTAAAATTCAATATAATCTTAAACTTATTTATTTAAGTGGAAATTGTACTTTTATAATGGCTCTAGAATATCCTGGTCAACTTATGTATCACCAATATAATAATTTAGTTGTTTAGAAGTCTGGGAGGGGGTGGTTATAAACTTCATAAACTTATTGTACATGTGTAGTATTTGTGTGTGTCTTTTAAATGGGCAACAGAAGTTTCTTAGGAATGTTCACCTTTCTACTTTCTACAAACCTATCCTAAGATAAAGCGCATGTTTTAAACTATTTTTGGAGAATGATGAGTGTTAGTGATTTCTTTTCCCCCCTGAGAATAAAAAGGAACACGTAACAACTTGTAATCAATATCCTCTCCTCTCTGCCTTATAAAGCTGGTGCTTCTGTCACAAGATTTGCTTTGACATTAGCAGACACTTATCCTTTACCAGAAAAACACTATCAACAAATCAGTGGCAACTGCCGACATAAACGTACAAATAGGCAGAGAATGTGACACTGGTTGTCAGCCCAAGGCCCTTAAGAATAGAATTTTAACTTTCTCCTGTCACTAAGAGTGCTCTAAAGAATCTAGGCAGGGTGGAAGTTAGTTTCCCACCCTCTCCTAATTAAATAAACAAGTGTCCAAGTTTTAAATGTGACAGAGTGTGTGGAACTTGTCACGTTTAAAAATGAAAAGCTCCTAAAATACATACTGAGGAAACCTGTCTATTTATTCTGTAGAGACACATAAGTCTTGGAAATTTATGATTCACTGTCCTACCGTGAAGTTTTTTGTGGACTTTATGTTGAGTTATGTGGCAGCTAAGTGCTGTCACTGTTTGCTTGAAACGGCAGCCTTAAGTTATTTCTGAAAGGTATGCGCAGCTTGGCATAGAAATCCGTATGTTGTAAAGTGAAAACAATAATTTTAAAAACTGGGTTAGCATGAAAGAGAGCCAACAGAAATCAGAATTAGCAACAGCCTTCCACTACCGGCGACTCACCTTGTTGAATTTTAGTCACTAGCTGATGGCGTGCTAGAATCCGGCTCATCCTGTAAGGAGAGCGTCTCGCAGTCTGATCAAATCGCAAATACATCTCCTGGCCCTCAGGTGTCATGGCATTTAGATAGTAGCAACCTGAAGCTGGGGTCCTGGGTCCCTGACTGAACATCCCGGCAGATTTTCTTTTGCCCTCAGTCTGCCCTGTGGCTGTTTCCGTCTGCCTTCAGTCTCAGTTACAGAGCGAGGCATCCAGCCCAGCAGAGCTCAGCAGACCCAGCGATTTTTAAAAAGAAAAAGGAGTGCCAAAAGCCACAACTCAGAATTCCAACCCCCGGCCTCACGTGACCTCGCAGAGCCAATCAGAGGAAGACAGGAGATGGGACGGTCCACAGTCGGCCCCAAGCCCCGGAGAGAGGCAAGTCCAGCCTCTCTGATCCCCACACAATGCAGGAAGGCAATGCGAGTACTGCCCTGCCTCTGAGCTGACTAAGCCCCGAGAAGCAGCACTCACTGAAAGAGTTCAAAGGAAAAGAGAGAGGGAAGAGGAAAGGCAGCAGAAGAAAAATAAGCCCTGGGCATAGGAAATCAATCTTTCTGGTTGTAAGGGTTAGAGAAAGCACACTCGCCTTCTCCAAGGCAGCTAAAAGATGGATGTGAGAAACAAATGAAAAACTACTTCAAATAAGCATAAACAGCTTAGGATAAATTACCACCCTTCATTACAAAGAAATAAATAAAGCTTTTCCAGTGAAAAGTGAACTTCAAGTGCTTTAAGGCCCTAAGTAAATATGCTCCAGGCCCCTTCTGCATGGGAAGTTGAGAGCTCTCACAGATGAGACTGGCAGAGGCAAGAGCACAAGTGTATTTGTTAAGTATCTACCCCTTTAAATTTTCCACTTGTCCAATTTTTAATCACCCAGAAGTAAAGTACTTTTGAAGTACCTCTCACATTTAAGACACTGCCAGGAATCATTGTAAAGATGCAGATCCACGCAATGCTGCTGTTGCCAAGCTGCCTGGGATCAATAGAGAAGTTATGCAAAAGCATATAACACAGGCCTTATGTGAAAGGGGCCTCAAGAAAGACACAAGAGCAATATTAGAGGAAGCAATATTATTTTTGACTGGGGTGACGAGAGCAGGCCACACAGAGGAAGAGACATTTGGGTGGGCTTTAAAAAAATGGGTGGAATCTAACAGGCAGAGACTGAGGAGGGCTTTGCAGGAGGGTCTGTGCCCACATGTGTGGAGATCGGGAACCACAGTGTGTGTTTAAGGAAAACGTGAGTAATTCCACTTGGCCATATCCGAGTATACATATGGGGGTAATTAGCATTTTTCCCCTATTTTTTCTCTTTAATATTGTTTGATGTAAAGAGGAAAAAAGTCCATAGAAAACATGTTATCAAATTCTGAACCTGGGGCTGAGGGAATAAAGTTCTTTGAAAAAGAGGCATAAGGCCAAGTTGTTCTTATTTTGGCTGTCTCAAACTGAAACATAGCCTGGCCTGGGATTTGGAATCCTAATAATAAAGAACTTTCAATTGAAAGTTCAACAGGACTTAAATTAGGTCCTCGATTCTTGCTGCTGTGGCTAACGGTGGTCAGTCCTAACATCTTTCCCTGTGGGAACTTTGCAATTCTGAGAAGCAGCTCATTTCGTGTAAATATCTTACTAGGTAAATGAGCACGTTAATAAAGATCCCTAGGGCCTACACTGGAATGTACTCTCTCTCATGGCAATTGTGAGCCTCTACCGATAATTATGCAAGAGTAAGTAAGGGTCAGGTTTTCAAGTCAGTGTTGATGCAGGAAAGGAAAGGGGTGTTCCTTTTTCATTTTTATTTAGGATTTGATCAGAGTTTTTCTATTCCAGGGGATCTTTTGTGGATGGTGAAAGGGATCTAAGATCTAGCGACTCTGGTATGCCAGAAGCCTGGGCACGAATGGCAGACAGGCTTAGCACTCCACTGCAGTATTAGATGCTAGTGAGGTCCAATCCCCAAGCTCAGATCCAGCACTGGCTGCCATCTGATGGAGATGCTGATGTCAGCCACCTTGTGTACATGCTTTCAGTTTGACAGTCCAGTGTTGGGGACGTCCCTGCCGCAAACACCTGCCAGTTATCACTTTTCAGTGGGAGAGTGTAGAAGAAGAGTAGAGAGAGAAAGAAGAGCGGATCATGGGACTTGGGAACTTTGCATATGTGCTGGGAAACCAAGCAAAGGGAAGGAAAAGGCAGGAAATGATATGTAGTTGCTTTTTAGCTGTGGATAACACTTAAAGAAAGACTGACCATTCTCAGTGCCAACCCTGCAGTTTAACACTGACTTGGCTGCATTTTAAAAGTAAATGGAATGATTCTTCCTGAGAAGCACTGCACTGTATCCTGGCCAGGTTACTATTTAAAACAAAAAAAATTCACCATGCCTCCTTTTTGCATAATAATGAATACATGAACATGTTGAAAGTCCTGAGGTGTTTTGTTCTGAAAACATCAAGTTCATAAATATGTATTCTTTGATATATATAAGCAGATACAACAACATGAAACATAGTATTTCATAGGAGATGGCAATGAAGAACAAGAATTGAATGTAAATTAGGGAGAAAAAAGAAGAATTTGAATTTCCTAATTAAAAGAAAGCTTAGCGTAAAGCCCAATTTTTCTAAAAATCAGTCTGATTTTTAATAAAGGGATCTATGAAGGATCATGTATCAACATCTTTGTCTTCCCTGTGTCATGTCCAACTTATTTTTTATGGTTAAGGTAGTAGTATCTATAAATCCATGCAACTACTCACCGTGGTTTTGCCACTTTGTGTCCAAAATACCATATTTAAAGCAGATAGGTAACATTATTTTCTCATTAGCATCATTATCGCCTTGTTTCATGCTAATGTATTGCTATGAAATCTGAGCCCTTTCAGTGAATTTTTTTCATCATTTGGTCCAAGTGTTAGAAGAATCACCACTGGGTGGGCAG